TTGTGAGGGCTATGCTCATCTGCAGGTGGAACCGCAAATATTGCTGTTGAATGAGATTTTTCTATAAACATTTCTGAGAAATGCTAACGACCATCATTTCATGAGAATGCATTCCATTATTGTTAGTGGTATGCACATTATAACGAATCTTTATAGAGTTTATAACCCTATTAAAAAATATATATACTGCACGTCCAGAGGCCAAGCCCTTTCATTCGACATCTCATTTTTTAAAATCGGGAGAACGGTGTAAATAAAATAATTTTAAACGCAGGTGGCAATCCTATCATAAAAATATATAATTTCTGCAAATCTAGAGGCCAAGCCCTTTCATTTGACACCTCATTTTTTAAAATCGGGAGAACGGTGTAAATATCATAATTTTAAACGTAGGTGGCAGTTCTATCAAAAAAATATATCCTTTGTGCACATCTATAGGCCAAGCCCTTTTATTTCACGCCTCATTTTTGAAAATCGGGAGAACGGTGTAAATATCATAACTTTAAACGCAGGTGGCAACCCTATTAAGAAAATATATCCTTACTGCACACCTAGAGGCCACGCCTCTTCATTTGACACCTCATTTTCGAAAATCGAATGAACGGTGCAAACCTTATGTAATTAACAAAATTTCCTTCGCACAGAATAGTATCTCCAGCCACACCAACTTTCCGCGAATGTTTGACGCAGCATTTACATTCACTTATGAACGAGAACGACAGCAGTGAATGTTCGCGAAGGCATCGATGCCACTCATAGCTACATATATGAACGCACGCTGTTTGGTCTACCAATCCATTCGCGTACGAACAACGGCGGAAATTTTTTCTACCTATCATTCGCGAACATGGACGATCTGAACATGTTTTATGCTTCTCGCTCGTGGAGGAAAACCAATATTAAATAAATGATACGTTCACGTTCGCGTTCGCGTACGAAGGTAAGTGAATATTTCCGAACCCTGATTTTATTTTGTTGTGAAACAGGGCTCTTTCATTATTTGTGCAACTTTGTTTGCAATATAGCGATGGCAACGCCGTCGTTTCTCCTTGGCTTGGGTTGACGGTTGACAGCACTGATTTCAAACTAAAAAGATATTCAACCCGAGCAGAAGTGGAAACAGCGGAAAGTTTTTTTGCTTTTTATAAATTGCTTTATTAATGCATTGTTATTCATATCTTTAGAAATAAACAAGATACAACATTGTACGTTCTATTTCATTCATTTCTGCGAGGGCCAGCAACATTTTTATTTCGCAGCTTCGTTTGCAGCTAAGTCCTGCGAAAATATGATTCACCATACACCTCGCCGTAGCCTCCGTTTCTAGCCAGGAGCAGGCAGCCAGCCTGAGGATGCTCCGAGATGTCTAGCAATCATATCGCCGCCTAATACGGATTCTCTAGACACCGGAGTTCTAGATAACTCGACTACGACCACTTTCACTTTGTCGTCTAGTACCATTACGTCAACTACCGTCGACATTTTGCCGTCGAACACTTATTTGCCTGCCACTATTGATACTATATCGGCAGTTACTTATACAACAGCGGCTCATGACATGCCGCTTACTACTACTACGCCAGTATTACTGCCTGATACGTCCCCCATTACCTATATGCCACTTATGACTGGCATTACGTCATCTGACATGTCACCTGCGCCACCTGACATGTCACTGGCCACTGGTGCATCGGACAATATGTACACCAGATCAATAACGACCGATTATTCGCCTTCTATGTGCACGTCAGCCAATATGTACGTTTCACCGCCCTATAGTCACACGTCTGCAGTACTGCCTGCGCGAACGCCCGTCGCTTATAAGCCAGCCGAGCCGAGCATTATGGCTATTTATGGTTATGCTCCTGCACCATCCGCCCCATTCAATACCCATGCGCCAATAGAGGCGGCCAACATGTCAGCTAGCACCAACTTTCCGCCGCGCGATAGTCACACGCCTGCAGTACCACCTGGCCCGCCGTCTACAATGTATATGCCAGTTCCACCTAGTGCTGCGATGTCTTATGGTCAGGGTGCAGCCGCCACGTTCGTACCCTCAAATAATAACGCTCCTATGGAGCCGCCTGTAATGTCTTGTAGTTATATTTGTAGCGCCTGCCTTGCTATAAAGTGAGTGTGTATATGCATGTGCGTTTGCCAAAAATAAAAGTAAAATCATTCCCAATACCCAAATCCCAGTATTTGTATGTAGTGTGTTGCGAAACTCTGCTAGCCAAGCGAACGATAAGGTAGTTCAGGGTAGGTGTGTATGAATGTGTGATTCTGCGAAAGGGGAGCTTTTGAGTGTGGGCTAACGGGTAGGATGAGCCGTTTGCTCAGCCTGGTCATCCCTTATAAAAGGCTGCCAGGGCATATCAACGTGATTATTGTGAAAGTAGCGGCCAGATAGTTAATGGTTTCTTAAATTGTGCGCGTAAGTTACGAGTGAAAAAATAATTAAAATAAAAAAAATTCTGGGGAATCTGAGGTCGCCAGCGGGGAACCTGCGAAAGGACCTCCAGGAGTGGGTGGAAGAACCCCTGCAGCCAGGTTTAGTACCGTCTTTCCGTCGCCGGACACACACCAGTAAACAACTACACACACAACGCATCGGATATACCTGTCCTCCCTTTTACACCAACAACATTTACACCGGCGAACAACACACACACAAACTTACATAGGTGACGTGTCGGCCGGAAGCGCACTTACTCAAAATCGCAAAATCGCTACCAGTGTCGCCAACTGACCAGCGCCACAATAGAAACCAGAGCAGTGGATCAGCTGATCCATACACATAGCCCAGAGCGTGTCAATAACTTCTTTATATACCCGGGAGCGAATATATGTATGTGCTTTTGCATAGTACAATGCATATATGTATATACATAGAAGAAACACAATTTAAGTAGTGGAACGACGGTGAGTGGGAGCATAAAAAGTGGACGTTAAGTGGAGTCAGAAACCATCAGAGCGAAGTCCCCATTCTCAGCGGTAGCAGGAAGGTAACGCCCACAACGTCAGCGTCGCCAAGCATTGTCAGCGTCGACGTCAGCCACTGGCACCAGCAGGAGCAGAACGGCTTAGAAGCCCAGAGTTTCCCTTATTTAGAATTTAGATATTATATATTTTTTTTTTAAGTTCTATCCTTGTTTATGCGAGTTTTAGCTAACCTTGTAAGTTTAGTAAGTTTTGCTTAGTATGCTAGGGATAATCTTGGCACTCGCGGTATTATTTTCTTCAATTTTTTATTTCAATTTCTACCCTTATTTATAACTGAGAGTTATAAGTATATTATTTTGGTAATTTATTTTCTATGCATAGTTTTGTTGGTAGGTATATTAATTGAATTTTTGCCACGCGGAGTTATTTGGTTAAATTATTGATTTTGAATTTCCTACCTTATATATCTGCATTTGTCGGATTCGTATTATTCATTCTCCCTTACGGCTTCTCGAACTTACTTGTCACGCTCTTCAAATTTGTTTTTTTGCCAACAAGCAATAGCTCAATAGTTTTTTGTATAGTTTTTCATCACTAAAGTAATATTTTTTTTCTTTATTTCGCGCACGCATAATCTCATCTACTCTTATTGTTTTTGCATATTTAGCATGCAAATGAGTTCTTAGTTTCACTAGTTGCGTCATTAAATGTATTGATTTTATCCATTTTTTTTGCACTTGCAGCTGGACACCACGTGGTGGTATTATATATATACATATATATATATTTTTTTTTGTATTCTTGTACATTTTCCTTTTCATTGTTAATTTTAATTTTACGTATTTGAGAGATCGACCTGCTCGATGCCCGCAACCACGAGCAAGTGATCGACCCGGTCAAACGTCCAAATCATAGTACTCCTGCTGTAGATATATGAATGTATGTACATATGTATATAGTCCAGTAGATTACGCTCTCCCCCCACACAGGTTCTCATCAGCGGGCTGGTACAAACGTCGCTGGAGTAACCAGGTGAGTGCATTTATGTTTGCTTTTTGTTGTATACATACATACATATTTACGTACATAGTTGCCTGAATGAAAATTAAAGAATTGGGTCATTCGCATATGCATGCGTATGTAAATATATACCTAAGTTTGTTGATCCTAAGCATGAATGCGTCTTTTTGATAACTCCACATTTGGTATATTCATACATACAGACATATACGCTTACTTATAAACATATGCATTTACCCTGTTGGGCATTAGGATGCGCGAGATTTTCTTTCTTGTTGCATAAATATTTAAATTAAAGAACGTTGTTTTTGGATTTTTCGTAATTAATTTTCATTTGGAATTTAGGTTGGTTAGATTTTTTTCTTACTCATTTTTATCAGTGTTTATATTACAGTTCCATTATAGTACTGAACTAAGAATAATTCAGAATTGTTAGTTGAGACAAGAATAGAGATAGGTGGTTGAAATAAAAGTAGAAACAAAACATGTACATGAATACAAGGTTTTTAGATCTCGATATGAGAGTGGCATATAAGGTGAAATGAAGTGCTAGATCTTTGTTTATTTGGTGTGTGTATTGCGCTAGTGCAACGGAGGGTACGTGGGGTATGGACATAATAATGATGACATCGAGAGGACATTGACTGACTGTTAATTGACATACGGACCACTGTCAGGTTTAGGGGCGCTGCTAAAGTAAAGGAGTCGCAGCAGCGCCCAAGGCTTCGCGGAGTACACGTAGAAGGGGTGGGACGACTCCACCTGACCGGACTGGCTCTCTTTCTTTTAAGCGACTTTCCTTCTAGCTGGCTTCCTATTCTCTTGCTGGCTTCTTCTCTTTCTTGAATTGTTTAATAACCAGGCATGATGCAAATTTTTTTTATGTAGCTAAGAGGCAGGGTAGGTAGGAAGAACTCCCTCGAACGAAGAGCTAGCTAGGGCCCACAAGCATGCCTGCATGCTGCCTGGCCTTGCCCACCCACACAGCTGCATAACATATTCCAGCAGTACCGCCTGGTCCTCCGCGCTATGTGTATATGCCAGCCGCATCTTGCAATACAGCACTTTATGGTCATGATCCAGTTGCCACCTTTGTATCTTCCAATACTCACACGCAAATATTTTCGCCAGCTGCACTGTCTACAACAGTAATGCCGTCAGGTCCGCCACCTACTGCCTACATCACGGATGTGTCCGGCGGTTCGCCAGCCATAAAGCGCTATCCGCCGTCCAGTATACCGGCACCAACGGCAGTACCCGCTGTACCGCCAATAACTTGTTCGCCACCAGCTACGGATGCTTATAAGCCAATTACTTCCAGTACCCTGCCGCCATTGTCTTATGGGCCTACAGCATCGAGCGCTATTCCTTACAGTGCGCATATTCCATCGCAAGTCGTTGCCTCGCTATTTCCCGCATACGCGCCAACGATCGCCACAGACAACTACTCTGTATCTGGTAACAGATTACCGAGCGGCAACAACAACTGGCAGGAGTTGTAGGGCGACGTCAAGCTACGTCCGCGACGGTGCATCACACCTTACCGCCGCAGCAGCTTAACATGATCCGCGGCCAAAACATGATGATGTTAACGCCTAGACAAGTTCGTGATTTACCCGAGTTTTCTGGGCAGCTAGAAGACTGGCCAGTCTTCTATGCAGCTTATACAGAATCGACTCCCGTGTATGGATACTCAAACTTTGATAACAATCAGCGACTAAATAAATGCCTTAAAGGTGCCGCACGAGATGCCGTCAAAGCGTTATGGATTCAACTGAATAACGTCAATGCCGTCAAGGAACACTTCGTTTCCGATTCGGAGGACCAGAGCAACTAATACGTAGCCAAATGAAGCAGGTCCGAGATACGCCAAAAGATTCAGAGGGAGCAACTGGACAAATCGTGCAATTTTCTACCTTCACTAACAATCTGACAATATTTCTGCATTCAATGGGGGAAAAGAGACATTTAGCGAACCCTACTCTCCTGGACGCCTGGAGTGGGCACGTTATGCGGTTATTGTAAGGCCATACCCAACCATCGTAAGTTTCAACTCATGGTTGACCGATGTTTCAGATTACGTCCAGATAGTTATGGAGCCCGACGTTCCGGATACGAAACACCGTGCGATATTACACGCCGCAACTGATGAACAAGCCAAATGCTCATTATATCAAGACGAACACAACGTCTCGGAATGACAACGATTTAAAGATGCCTCTATTTTAGAGAGGCGGAATAAGGCCAAACAGCTTCGACTCTGCTTCAAACCGGGCTTGTTTAAAAACCGGGCATGCTACTCGAGAATATCGTCGCCGTAAGGCATGTCAGGTCGACGGATGTCTGAGAAACCACCATCAATTATTGCACGGAACCGAGGCATCTTCTCCGGCTCGATCACTCGCCTCAAAGGATTCTACTGAGTCGACTCGCAAGCCAATAGTAACTTCACCTGAGGTGAAAAAAAATAATCCGGTATTGAATTGCTCGTCCACGCTCAACAGCGACATACTCTTCCGAGTGCTGTCAGTTACTCTATATGGCCCCAAAAAGAGTGTTAACACATATGCACTTCTGGACGTAGGGTCATCAATTACTATGATGGAAGAGCTAGGCGTTAGCGGTCAGTGCCAGGACGTAGACATTCAATGGTTTGGCGGGAAGGCCGCCAGGCAAGCGGTTGCCATATCGATATCGAGGTCAGCGGAGAGGGAATAAAGTAACGCCATACGCGAACGTGACATTCCTGACTTTGCACGCCATAGAGGGAAATTACCAATGCAGCCGTATAAAGATGTCCCGCCTTCTATACTGATTGGGCTCGATCATCTCGGTCTGCCCACACATTTAATGAGTTCCAAGTGTCTTGGGCCCTATGCCGCCCACACCGAGCTAGGTTGGGCTGTATTCGGGCCAGTAGAAAGGCCGATGAAAGAACCGGTTTGTTTACATACCAGATGTATTCCTGATCCGCCGTTGCACGAGATGGTATCTGAATATTTCTCTACCGAGTCTTTCGGGGCAAAACTTTTGCAACTTATTGACTTTTGAATTGGACGAGCAATTCAAGTGCAGATGAAGTGCGTGCACGACGAATCCTAGAAGAGACTACCGTTGGGGTTGGCGATCGATTTCAGACAGGGATTCTGTGGAAGTCCGATGGAATCGTGTTGCCGGAAAGTTATGGCATGGCGATGCATCGTCTGGTTGGTATTGAGCGGAAGATGAAAAGGAATCCTGAGCTTGCTGCATCGTATTATAACATTGTCATGCGATAAAAGCATACAATTTGCAACCCTACTAAATTACTACAAACCATCTTATATGAATACGCCCTAGGCTAATCTAGTACAATTAAGAACTAAGAATTTACGATATTAAGAATGCAACCCTGCATATGTAAGAAACTAAGGTGAAGACGAAATGCAAAATAAAGATTAGCGTCATTCAATTCGCTTACTTCAACACGGAAAGTCAAGTTTGATTTTAATTTATATTATTTTGGGACCGACAGCACCAAGCAGGCGTTGGCCGGCATCAGAGCCGGCGGAGCACCAGGGCTCCGCGAGAAGCAGGCAGCAGCACTGCCCTTGACAAGTCGGGCGTTGGCCGGCAGCAGCGCCAGAGGAGCACCTGGGCTCCACGTGTCAGAGGTACCCCCGTTAACTAACGAAGTGGAATTTTACCACTTCGACATGGCGACCGTGGGTCCATCCCGCGAAATTGCGGTGTACTAAATAAAACTGAAAATAGACTTATCAAAAAAACATTATTACAAAGGAAAGGAAAAACTTTCAAAGATTGCTACAAAAAAAGGGAAAAACTTGAAAAAGATTACAAAAAAAAATTAAAAAGCAAAAAATTAAAAAAAAATCGGTAGTACCAATATTTAAAACAACAATTACAAACTAAAACGTTTATGAAATGCAAAACGAAAAAGGTTATAAATAAGCAAGTGCGGTGGCTGGTAACAAAAACTTTTCCAAAAATTAGTTGTGGTTGGCGGCTAAAGACAGTGGAACGTGAACAAAAACTTTGCAAAAACGGTTATGGTGGTGGCAGCTAAAGACAGTGGAACGTGAAAAAAAACTATAATTTCTGACAACGGGAAAATTACAAACTAAACGAGAAACTAAAAACCACAGTAAAACAGCTAAAATTTCTTGAAAGTACTGCCACAGTACGCCACAGGACCGTAATAACCAGTATATGTACGTACATATAACTGTACGTAAAACCACGCCACTTTGACACTGAACAGTAACGAGTAGCGGTATGCAGAACAACGCCAACTTTAGCAAGAGCGAGCAGGAAAGCACAGCATAACGGTTTGCAGTATGTATGGTGCACAGTATGCAAATTTCGACCAAATTTTCCTTTAAATTTTAAAACCTTCCACTTGTATACATATAAAGCAATGTACATACATTTATATAAAATACATTCATTTTACATCTGTATTATATTCAAAATTTCAAAATTTCTTTACATTCAAAATTTTCAAACTTATATTACTTACATTCATTTTACATCTGTATTATACTCAAATATTTTAAATTACTTTCAATACACACATTTACATATGCACATATATGTTACTGTTTTTTCTTTTGGAATTTCAGCTTCAGTGCTACAGTCATGTGCAAATACTAATATATTTTTTTGTGAAACGTAACTAACTTTTGAACAATTTAAAGTTTTTACTAAAATTTTTCTTCAATTCTTTGCAACATTAGGCAAGGGTCAGATTTGGGATTTTCATTAATTTTTATTTTTTTTTCAAAAATTCGAATTTTCGCCTGTGCCATTGCCGTGCTTTTATACTACAACTTTTAGAGTTTCGTTTGAAATATGGCAAAATATTTCAACGATTATAATTATCAATAAACGTTTTCCTCAGTTTTCTATGCCGTGGTAGCCAAACTTCAAATATTACAACTTTATTCAAATTTTTTTTTTCAATAATACAATAGTTCGATAGTTTTCTTTTTAGATCTTTTGCTTTGCGTGTGTGCCAGATGTCAGATGTCGAACTTGTATTCAAAGATTTACAAGCAAAATTTTCAAAAGTTACCAAGCGTGTTCTTCAAAGCCGTCCACTTACAACAAATCGGGAAAAGTTGACGAATATAAAAAATATTTAATCGAAACTTACAACGATATTTTAATTCAAGTAAAAAATTCGGAACAACAACGAAACAAGCCAGCTTCTATAATTAAAAGATTACCGCGGTGCAGAGAAAAACTACTTCAGTGTTTTCAAAAAATTGGGTGTAAAGTTTTAGTACCCGAAGATTTTTCAGTTCTTATAAAAGAAGATATTTTAAATTCTGAAGTAGATTCCGACGACGACTTTGCTGACGCTTGTTCAGCTGGCACACCAGAAGTTTCCACCGTTAAAATAAGTGGTTCATTGCCTTCATTTAAAGATTTTTTACAAATTGAAGAAACGCCCTGCGTAACGATTAGTTCACCAAATATTAATTTTATTGCATATACAAACAACATAAAAATGGCAATACGTGAGCAAAAGAAATCTTTTATTAGCTTGTATTTATCTATAATTCGAGAAAACTATAGTGCTGACCCCCTATCGCTCGACTCATTCATTGACAAAATCAATTTAATAGAAGAGTTATCGGATGAAGGTTTAACTACAACATTTATAGCACTTTTAAAGTCAAAACTCGAAGGCAAAGCGCGTGAGGTTTTACCCAGTCCAATAATTTCAGTGGATCAAATAAAAGATGCGCAGAATCAAACCAGATACCTCCAAAGTTGTCTCTGGCAAAATCGCGTCAATACACATTACTAATAACAACTATTCCGACTTTGCCAAACGAGTAGAGGAATTATCTGACGCATTAGAGTGATCTTTAATTATTGAGGGCATGGGCGTAGCCAGGTAGGGGCAGGGGGGTGTTCGAGCCGCCCCCCCTAACTTTCAAATTTTCCTTATATATACATAAAATAGTACCCTGAAATGCCAGCTTAATAGGGTCGATCCCCCCCCCTAAATTTCATTCTGGCTACGCCGATGATTGAGGGTATGACTCAAGCGAAAGCCCCCGAGTTAGCGGTAGAGCAGACAGTAATTGTTTGCAGGCTGAACAGTCGTTCAGAGCTAGTAAAATCTATTTTAGCCTCAACCACTTTTACGAATTCAAAAGATGTAGTCGGAAAAATGATTGTAGAACACAATAATGAAGTCAAAGAGCGGCAGGTGTTATCTTTTAGGTCATGGGCAAATAGACCAAATAGTTTTCGAGAAGGTTTTAGAGGGCACAACAACTATGGCTATCACAACAATGGTTTCAGATTTAATAACGGCAATACAAATAGGCACAATAATGGCAATAACATAAGGCACAATAGTCAAAATAATTACAATAGAAGTAATTACATAAGAAGTATAGTAAGTAATAGGTCGGCAAGCAACAGAAACAGCTCTTCTCGTTCGAATTCGAGAAACACATCTAATGTTCAATTTTTAAACGCCGAT